AAATGTATTAATGTAACTTTCCAATCGATAATGATGTCCTTTAGAACAGTATTCTGAATGATGTTAAAAATAGGGTGCCCCTGATAGCCAAACAGGTGCTAGCAGTCAACTAGGTTAATAAAGACAAAACTCTTTAGCGTATTTACAGATGAAACTGACCTGCACCTGAAGCCCTGAACAGGCATTTTTGCTACATTTCGCTGCTTCTTCTGGCCGCTTCCTCTCCTTCATCTGCTTGGACTTCAGAAAACTCAATGCAGTGAGTAAATTTGACCCGTACCCCATGCCCAGAGTAGACGACTTAATAGAAAAACTTGGTAGCGCAAAGTTTCTTACAACACTGGACTTATGTAAAGGCTATTGGCAAATACCATTGAGCCCAGATAGCAAGGAGTTAACAGCTTTTAAAACTCCTTTTGGACACTACCATTTCCGGGTCCTTCCTTTCGGGCTTCACGGAGCACCTGCTACCTTTCAAAGAATGATCGACCAGATTCTATATTATTATATTATTATCTACAGTAAGACCTGGGAGGAGCATCTACAGCATCTGACAGAGGTACTGGAAAGAATAAAATCAGCAGGACTTACCATTCGTCCAGACAAGTGTGCTATGGCCAAAACGGAAACTACTTACCTGGGATATAAACTAGGACATGGAGTTATTCGTCCTCAAGTCGGGAAGATTGAAGCCATCAAGCATGCTGAGTGACCTACTTCAAAGAAGCAGGTACGTTCTTTTCTGGGCCTAGTTGGATGATATAGACATTTCATCCCTCACTTCTCTGCAAGAGCAGTAGCTCTTACTAACCTTACAAAGAAGGATAAACCCAATAAGATTGATTGGACTGCAGAGTGTGAAAGTGCTTTCAAGGATTTGAAAGATGTGTTGTGCAAAGAACCTGTTTTGCAGAGTCCAAACTTTGATCAGCCATTTACAGTACAGACTGATGCTTCAGAGTGTGGTTTGGGAGCTGTACTTCTGCAAGGACAATCTGGTGAATTGCAGCCCATTGCCTATATTAGCAGGAAACTTCTTCCAAGAGAAGTCCAAGGTACTCAACAGTAGAGAAAGAATGTTGCTGTGAAATGGGCTTTGGACTCTTTTAGATACTAACTGTTGGGTAGAAAGTTCACCCTAGAGACTGATCATCAGGCCTTAGTTTGGTTGGGCCGCATGAAGGACACTAATGCCCGTATTACACGCTGGTTTTTAGCTATACAACCCTTCAGGGACGGACTGGGATGCAATTTCAGGCCGGGAAATCTCACACTCATCCAGGCCACACAGCAAAAAAGAGGCCAAAATGGTACCTTTTGGGGTACAACAGCTTGTCACTGGAGCAGTACCCTTAAAAGAACATCTTTGTACCTTTTTTCTACCCCTAATAGGTACATATTAGTACCTTATAGTCAGTGGTGTAGTGGTGCCTGGAGAAGTGGGTATACTCTTAATTTATGCCCCCATTTTTTTAAGTGGCCCAGCAAAGGATGAACGGCCTGTGTTATAAACAGTGACATGTAAGAGTCAAGACTAGTCTTGCATATTTAGTTCACCCCAAAATGGGCCAATAGTATTTGCACATTTTCACTTTCTGTAACTTCTGCTACTTGACTTACTGGAGTAAGGATCATTATGAAATTAATATTAGCCACAAAAGAGGTGCAGATTTTGCAATAAATAATTAAAATGTAAAAAAATTACATAGACTGCAACAACATTTTGTCAGAACCTCTAGTAGACAAGCTATTTTGTTTAGTTATCTGTAGGAGAATCATGATCTCTATTTGATACCAAAAAAAGAAAAGAAAACGTGATCACTTTATCCAGAATTGTGCAGCTCTACTCCTATGTTTGACTGACTGTTTCTCCCATGGCATACAGTGACGGACAAATTGTAACCCCCTGCCTACTCCCCCCATACCTTTTACAATTTATGTATAGTCTATACTATATAGTGCAAAAAAAATAAAAATAAAATAAAATAAAATAAATTATAATAACATTGTTTAGAGCATTTTTAGTACAATTAAGCACTAGCCAAGCTGCGATATCAAACAGGACCACAAGGAGACGCCAAAAGATCACTAAACCTACTGCCTTGACCTGACTGTACAGACTACTATACGGATCCATTCAGAATCTAAAAAACACCTTCAGGCTTCAGCAGCGTCCATTATAAAACACTCGTGCTTTTAAGCCAAATACACGCTGAAAATAATAATTCTGGAGGTGACTCTAAGCCATCTCTAATGAAACCGGTCGGGTTTTCTCTGTAGCTGTTTTGAATTTAGGCTACAGTTTGAAGGCATTCGTTTACTGGATCCTTGGACTGAAAAGTTTACAGGAGTTTACTGGTTTAAAAAATCTGATCGCAAAAACATTATTTTCCTTTTTAATGTATTGTTTTCATTATAATGTACTGATTCAAAGTAGTAGTCAATAATTAAATATTATTTTATCACTCTTCGCGCCTCCCCTGACATGCACTCGCACCCCAGACCGACTCCGCTTGCATTCACATGATTTGTCGAAATGAGAGGCGGGCGCGGGCGCAATCATCAATCAAATTTAAAGGGAAGCCGGTGCATCCTGACCGCATCATTGTCTTTACTGGGTGTGTTTAGGGAATATTGGCATTTAATTACATGTGATTTGATTAGCTAGTCATGGTGGACTGTCATGATTTTGGCTAATGCAGGACACTAATGAATGATGTACATCAGAGGGGATTTAGAAGTGGTTATACGCAAAGCCGACTGATAAAGAAGTGGGTATACGCCGTATATCTGCATATACCCTCCACTACACCACTGCTTATAGTAATTCGTACACATAAGGTACTAATATTTACCAAATAGGGGTAAAAGGCAAAAATACGTCTTTTTAAGGGTACTGCTCCTGTGACAAGCTGTTGTTCCCCTAAAAGGAACAATTTTGGCCTATTTTTTCTGTATATAGCCTATTGACCCACTACAAATTCTAAAACCACAGATAACCCTATTATTTAAATGGCCATCATATAAAAATGTCTAAATCCTTGGTCTGGGGCCCTGAAAAATAATTAAAGGTTGTCTCTTGAACTGCACCTTCACTTCCCTTTTTACTTTTCTTCATTTTCCCCAATATCTCTGTCTCTCCTTTTTTTATTGTACCTGTCACTTCTTCACCAGCAGGTCTACTGTTATGAACAGAACTGTCCACCTTGTTGCAAAAAGACCAGCTCATTGCAATTTGTTATCACAGAATGTTATTTATCTTAAAATGACTTAAATACCCGAGATTTAACAAACCTATATTTCATACAAATATATCAAACAATTTTCTAAAGTGCATAAAAGTAAAAATCAGTACAATATCTTAAAAAAAATAAAATAATTCCTAATACTGAACAATATTGCATTATAGGCTGTGATATTTTTGTGTTGCTGTCTGCTCAAACTCCCTCCCTTCCTATACAATAAATCCATGAGAATGTCTGTCTGCTAAATTTATTAATGTAACTTTCCAATCGATAATGATGTCCTTTAGAACAGTATTCTGAATGATGTTAAAAAGAGGGTGCCCCTGATAGCCTAACAGGTGCTAGCAGTCAACTAGGTTAATAAAGACAAAACTCTTTAGCGTATTTACAGATGAAACTGACCTGCACCTGAAGCCCTGAACAGGCATTTTTGCTACATTTCGCTGCTTCTTCTGGCCGCTTCCTCTCCTTCATCGAGTCCCGCGCATCGACTCTGTTCGAAACCATCGTTTGAAGCGCGGAACAGACGTGAGCCGATTTGTATAGCGCAGCGCTGCCTGTCAAGACTAACCGATTTATGATTTATTATCGAATGAAAAAATCGGAAATTATCACTTTGGTACATTGAGAAGGCAAAAATATAAAATATTAATAATAATAATAATAAAAACCCAAAACAAACAAACAAACAAAAAAAAAAACAGGGCAGCGGGCCAAATCAGCCGCCAGGCCACCGGGAATTCGCCGGTGCTCCCGGTGGCCAGTCCGGGCCTGTAACCCTTTGACTTTGAGGTGTTATATCGGTCTGGTCCTGAAAACTGTGGGGCTGATTTTCTCTCTAGGACACCACAGGGGGTGTCAAAGGGAAGGGGGAGAAAATGTCACGGAGCAACCCCGTGATCATGAACAGACTGTATGCACGTACACCATATCTAGCACACACACATACACTGCACGCAGCATTAACACGGACTGTTTGCCGGCACTGAAATCATGTATACACGGACCTGTATAATGCCTGTGAGTGTTCGAATGTATTGTGTATTATGTGTTTAAGATATGTGAGGGTACAATGTGTATTTTGTTTATTATGTGTAGTGGATTTATGCACAACGTGTTGGGTAACATTAGCCGCTACATTGTTCATTCATTTTCATTATAAATAACCACAATACACATCTTAAAGTCTTTATTTAAGATTAGGTCACACAGTATAATACATATAACTTACCTGCTTGTAATACTCCAGTGGCCAAACCTGAATTCTTCTTCTTCTTCTTATGATGTTTAATGGCGGTTGGCAAACCAGCTTTTGGTGCATATTCCGCCACCTACTGGGATGGAGTGTGAGGCGATGATATCAAGGGAAATGCTAATTAAAAAAAAAAATAATAAAATTTTTTAATAAATAAATACATAAATTAAAAAAAAAACTTCTACCTATATTTTATTATATAAATTTGTTATTTTCAAAAAATGTATAAGAGCTTTATAACCTTTATGAGAACTGTTTAACACATTCTGTACATAGAATTAATGCCGGCAGATTTTAATTCCTCTTTTAACTGTATGCATTCCTTTTCATATGCCCTACAGTTAATCAGCACATGCTCCACAGTTTCTGGAAGTCCACAATGATTACATTGACCAGATTCGTGTCTTCCTATCATCTGGAGTGATTTATTAAGAGTAGAGTGTCCAATTCTCAATCGCGATATAACTGTATCATCCCTGTCATCAGATGTGCTTAAAACATTAGTCACATTTAAATGCAGACTCAAAACTCATCTCCATTTTTCTGATCATTCCCCATACATCGCTGATGTCTACATTTTCACCAATTCTATCACAATACTCTCTCCAATGCTTTCTTTTAGCTACACGGATAACTTTCCTTACCGCTGCCTGTGCTCTCTTATATGCAATAAAGTCATCAAAAGAATATGACTTTTTAACTCTCCTTAATAACCTATTTCTTGTTTTAACTACTTTACTACACTCATCAGTCCACCATGGCACATTTTTCTTTTTCTGCCTACCTATACTTTTACCTATTACATCTTCTGCAACCTCACAAAGAATTTCGCAAATTGTATTATTATATTGCTCTACATCATCTATATTACTGTTTAAACTTTGTAATCTTGGTTCACATTCACACTGAAATGCATTCCAATCTGCTGCTTTAATCTTCCATCTAGGAACCCTTTCTATGTCTGTTTTTGAAACTTCTAATCCTATTTTACAATAAAGAGGAAAATGATCACTTCCTATTAAATTTTTTTCTAATACTTTCCACACACTATCTTTAGCTAAACATTCGGACATAATTGTTAAGTCAATAGCTGAATATTTACTTTTGGATATATCCAACCTAGTATAACTCCCATCATTAATGCACACTAGATTTTTCATTTCTAAGAGTTCTTCCACTGCTCTTCCATTATGATCTGTGTGCTCACTACCCCATAATGTATTGTGTGCATTAAAATCACCACACCACACCTCACTATGGCTACCTTCTCCCCCTATATTTGTCAGTGTTTCACTATTTAATCTTTTACAGGGATTATAAAAATTGATTATTCTAATTTTTTGTGATCCTGACCAAACTTCTACTATCACTGATTCACATTCTTCCCTTACATTCACTTGCTTATAGGCTATATCAGTTTTAATGAATGTTACTACTCCACCACCATTTCCAACTTTCCTGTCCCTTCTAACTGCTGTGTATCCTTGTAAAACAAATTTCAAGTGTGGTTTGAGCCAAATTTCTTGAATACAAATTACCTGAGGTGTAAAACTACCATCTGAAATACATTTTTTAAATTCCTGACCATTTTCTATCAAACTTCTAGCATTCCACTGAAGAATAATTAAGACCATTAAGATCCACCACATGCTGTTTGTGTATTTGAGATCTGAACCTTTAATTTCTCATTTACTTGTTCCACCGTTACTCCTTCCACATCCAAATATTTCCCAGCTGCCCTCAGGATTATTCTGATTCTTTCTGTTCGACTTTCTGTTTGTGCTGAGCAATTGACGACTTCTGCCATAAATGCAATGAATGACATCTTATCAATCAACATTGTATTGTCATTTACTCTTCTACTGCTTACTTGTTCATCCACTGTATAGGATTTTTCCACCAGATCTGCTTTCCCTGCACTCGTCTTCAGATTTTTTTGGACACGCTTTAAAGCTTCCACATATGATACTCCTTCAGATACTCTTATATTTTGCGCTTTCACAGCATCCTTTCTAACTTTACATCCTCCATAACCCGCACTATGGTTTTCTCCACAATTACAACATTTTGGGTTCACTCCATGCCCACACTTTCCGTACTCGTGCTCTCCTCCACATCTAGCACAACGTTGTTTTCCATTGCATACTGCAGCTACGTGACCAAACTTCTGACGCTTAAAGCATCTTATAGGTGGGGGAATATACGGTCGTACCACGTAAATCAAATGTCCTAGATACACTTTCTCAGGTAATTTTTCCGCATCAAATTGAATCATTACCGAGAGGCTATCTACCTTTTGTTCATTTTTGACATATTTAAGTCTCTTCACATCTTCTACTACTGCCCCTGATAGATTTCGTTTGATAGACTCAACTGAAACATCAGTTGATATCCCTGTTATCACTCCTTTCACCCATTTCCTTTCCTCCATTATTGTACACGATACTTTTATTCCCAGCAGAGATTTTAGTCCTACTGCAGCTTTTTGCTGCTTCTTGTCATGACACAACAACAGTCATCTGCCATCTCTCACCCTCTTTGCACTATCAATCTTGCCAACCGCTTCTTTCAGAGCTTTAGTTATTTTAATTGGGTTCAACACATTAGCCGATTCCGCAAGAAATTTAAGCATTACCTTGTACTCCTCTTTCGGTCTACTAACCTGTTTCCTTTCTCTTTCACTATCTGATCCAGATGTTTGATCCCTCATTTTTTTCCTTTTACGATTTTCCACTAAAGTCCAATTACTATTTTCAGTACTTTCTAATTCCCCGCCATCCATTCCATCCGTCTCCGGATCACTTCCTGAATTTACGCAACTTCCTTCCATCACCACCTCAGTCACACCCCAGTGTTGCCACCGCCATATCCTGCCAGGGAAAATCCGCCTGTCCCAAACCTGAATCGTTTTAAACCTAAAGTATTCAAGCATGGTGGACACACCGTCTGAATGGGAGAAACCATGTTGGGTATGATGTCACTTGGGGGGGGTTCCAATGTACCTGTAAAACAAGGTTTACATTTGTTCATCCATATGTTGTATTTTTATATTGTGATTTGTGGAATTTATACTTGAATAGATGCTGTGTTACACCTGGCTCAAAGATGTAACATTAAGGAAGACGACACGGCGGAATAACTTAAAACATAATATTACAACGAAATATAACCAAAATCAACAATCACAAAAGTCAGTCGGCCTGTCAGTAATATCAATCAGTATGAAATGCAGGTGAATGGATGCACAAAGTGAAGTGTGGTCAGCGCTAGTGAATGGATGCAAAATCAAAACATAACGCCACAAAATTGGAGCGCGGCTCTGGCAAACTGCTCAAGCAACAGAAGAGCAGCCACCCTGACGAACTCTCGCACCAGGTTTAAATAACAGCCATGATGAGCATCAGGTGCGCTCCAGTCACACTCCAGGTGCGCTCCAGTCACACTCCAATCACAGAACCTGCCACAGAGAAAAAGAGACCAAAACACCCAAACCAACACAACTCAATCCTAACAATATGCATAATGTGATCAGAAGTGCATATGTAAAGAAGTAAGCTTACCTGTAGATTGGTACATCCCGGGGTGTGGCCTAGACTATAAAATGGCTGCCGGAGTTGTACATGTGGCTCATCACTCATCATGGATGAGGGTCAGGTTGGTTTGTGTGGAAGGAGCAAGCAATAGAAGCTTGTGCTAATGAAGTTTATTAACCAAACTACCTAACTGTTGTTGTGACTATGGTCCAACAAAAAGACTTGTAAATATTGTTTTTTTATATATATATAGTTTTTTTTGTTGTTTTTGCTGTGGGATCTACACTGTCTGTACAATAAATTCACCTCAACTGGAATTTCCTGTCGCCATGGTCTTATTATGCCTCCGACCACAAGTGCAATCTCTAACAATGTTTTGATTATCATTGTGAATCAAATTCATAGGGCCCTATCATACACCCGGCGCAAGTGTTTTTGCTAGTTTCAGCCCGACGCAGTTCTCATTTTCCCGTCCTGCGCCACGTTGTTTAAATAGCAAATGCATTTGCACCCATTTGTGCGCGCATGGGAGTGCTGGTCTAAAAAAGAGGTGTGTTCAGGCGCATTGTTGGCGCGTTGGTATTTTGAGGAACTGAAAATAGACTGCGCCATAGACCAACTCAAACCTGGTCTAAAGTCTGGCGCAATATTTTTTTCTTTTTTATTTAAAGAGCGCGTTAGTAATATGCGCCTATAGGTGGGTGCACAACGCGCGCACACTTTGCTTATTACACACACAGGGACGCGCAACAGCAAACATTTTTAAAAATGAAAAATTACATTCCGCCATGTAAATAGCGAACCCGCCATGGTGTGAGCGCAACTGGCTTTTAAAGGGGATGGGAGATGAGACTCTGATTGGTTTATAGCACGTTACGCCCCAAAAACACCCATTACTCATTAAGAGAATAGGGACAACCCGTTTAGACCATGCGCCCGGGCACGCCGACCGTTTTCCCATTGTTAAACTAGCAAAAGTGGATTCGGACACGCCTTTTTTCATAGTCTTTTTTCAGCTTTTTGTTCAAAATGTTGTTTATTTATTTATTTATTTTTATTTATGAAATTTACCCACATTCAAGTGTTTACAAAAAAAAGAATGCATGAAGCTAGTGTAATGAATTTTAACTCATTTGTAATTGTAGGGAATTAATTATTATTAATTCATTCAGGTTTTGATAGGACTCGGATCTGAAAATTCGAAGTTCACCTGATTAAACCGATTTCAAATTTGTTATTTTACACTTTAAATCAAGGGTCGTCCCGCGAGCCGTGACCTCAGTATATTTTAACAAATTATGTATATTCTCCCTGGCCACGGGTTAATACAATTATGATAATTTGTAAGCTCTTAGAGAGGTAACGTAATCTTTTTGGCAAAGGTTTTAACCTTTTAACCTGGCTATTCTAGATTACATCAAAACTAAGCTAAAACACACATACACACACACACACGCACATATACAGTTTCTTAGAATGAGAGTTGACAGAGTTGCATGAATTTTCGTATTCTAACTCGTTTTCACGAGTGATTTAAATTCACCTGAGAGCATTCACAAAGCAGAGAATCTTAGCTTATGTTTACTGCTTAAAGTAGCTCGACACCAGTTCAGCAGAGATAAGATTTTGTTCGTTTACTTGCGTTCTGCTTGGTTGACAGCTGAAAAGCTGAGTCGTTCCTCGTGGCTGCTGGATGGCTGCTGGAGGGAAATTCCTTCGCTGATTGGCTGTTGCTTTGACGCCGGAATGACGTTTGGATGACGTTCTTTGGGGAAGCCCTCGTTGGGTTGGTTGGTTGCCGGGTTACGGAAGAGGCTTGAGCAGTCCTGCTTAAAGTCTGAGTTTGCAAGACTTTGCGTTCTGCCGAGTTACGAAGCTTCAATTGAAGTGTTTGAGTTCTTAGATGGTCTCGCTTGTGCGATGTTACGGCGTGGGGCGCTTTGTCGCGCTCACCAAGGTGAAAGCCAAAGTTCTTTGAGTGAGAGAGCGAGCCAGCGAGCAAGAGCGTTGTGTCCGTTTTAAGCAGGCTGACCTTTGGTCCGCCCCACGACGCGATCTTCCAATCGGACGCTGTTGCAGGGCTTAGCCACGCCCTGTGTTGTTCCTTTTTCTTATGCACAAGTCACATGCTCCGTGGGGCGTATTTCTGGAAGTTTTAAATAACTTCTGATAAAGTATTATCACCAGAGAATGATACATAATATAAAAGTTTCACTAACACCAATGTTCGGCGAATAAGACAAGCTTTCACCCGATATTAAACTTCACATCTCTTACACGCATATTAAATGCTTTGTCTGCTAAAACGAGTTATAAGGCATATTAAAATATCATGGTTTCAATAACACAACACACATATATATATATATATATACGGCATAACACATACAGTGGATACATTTTCACTACTTATGAGTTTTAAATGCTTGTCTGTTAAAATCGTCATGCAAGGTTCTGTTTCTTTTGTTGTAACATAAGGACGCGGGTCCGTTGGGGTTTCAGGAAGCAGATGTGATGGGAGTCATGTGTTAGTCACGTCTAGATCGGGCCTGAGGGCACTAGTTAATTTACTGTCCTTTTCCTGTTTTGGGATATAATAGTTCCGTCCCTTGGTCGTCCCAAGACATCGTGGTTTCTATATGTTGTGAACGAACCTTTTCAGTCCTTGATACAAAGAAAGCTTTGTTGTCTCTTGATTGAATCAGTCTTTAATCACTCCTCTGAGTAGATGACGACACGACCGGCAGGAAGTCGACCCAGAATATTGGAATCATGTGCTGGGTGATTAGCAAACCTCATGATGGCTGATATCAGTGTCCGTTCATATTTAGAAATCCCTACATATATCCCCCTTTTGCGCGGTGAGGTTCCCATTGCGAACGTCGGCGGGCACTGGAACAAGAGGCAGAGAGAACAGACACACACAAGACACAAACAACATCTCCATCACTGACTGAATCCTGGTGCGGGACATGGGTAATTTGGGAATGGTCAGGTTAGAAACTTGAGAAGACATAGGGGTGCATTATTTAGGATTACTTGTATCATTATTGTGTCATTTAGATTGCTCTAATTGTCAGAGCTTCAACGAGGCGGTATAGGCGTAATCTCAATTGATACAAAGAAAGCTTTGTTGTCTCTTGATTGAATCAGTCTTTAATCACTCCTCTGAGTAGATGACGACACGACCGGCAGGAAGTCGACCCAGAATATTGGAATCATGTGCTGGGTGATTAGCAAACCTCATGATGGCTGATAGGGGCATAATAGTAGTGTCCGTATATGATAGAAATCCCTACACTAGAATAAAATATTTTTGTTTACAAGCAAATACCGTTCTTTCTTTTGATGTTTGTATGTTCAGATAGCATATTCATATAACAAAATGTATACAAATTAATACCTAAATAGGGACATAGTAGTATACTTAAAGTACGATGTAAAGTTACATGTAAAACTTACGAGTATACTTGCAGTATAAAACTACTAAACTAGTAGTTTACTGAGACTATACTTCAGAATGTACTAAAAATGCTACAAGTATTTAATTAGTAAACTATCAGTATACCTATAAGTTCACTTTTAGTATAGTTGCAGTACAAACTAAAAA